TTCTTCGACTAAGGAAACTGCAAGGTACACAAATGGTTTTTCTTTAAATTTTCTCTTATACTCATTCCCTTTTCTTTTCGCTTTATACTATTTAACTTTGTTTCAAATTAATAAATGACGATCCCCAGGGAATTTATCATTATTATTTTAACGTGTGTCACACCTATGTGACGACGTACGATGTATGTTTTTATGCTTTCAGTTTTATCCACTTGGTATTCACCTACTAGATTACACAGTATTTCATGCTTCGGTTTCTTCTTTTCCTTTATCTTGTATTCTCTTAACGAATAGCTGTGCACACGTTACCTTGTTACCCAAGACGAGTATATCCACTTTACAGGACCGAGTGAAAGATTTAAAAAAGAACAGATTACTTGGTCTTCTTCCTTGTTTATTTCATGGTTACCATGGTAACAAAGCAGCGCCGTTCGATCCTAGCGTCAATCCATAGAACTAATCTACCTTGTAAACTTTCTTCATGAACAAACTGGATTGAATGACGGTAATAAATCGAAGAACGGAGAAATAGATACTACATTGTGGCACAAATCTTGATATCAAATAGGAATTAAATGATCGTATTCTATCGTATCGTTAATTCGATAAAGTCAATTAACCGCAATGGCAGTGGATTTTAATCGACGGTAATCAAGGTATGAGAAACCCATAGAAATTCTGATGAATACTAAATTCAACTAGAGGCCCGAGCAACGTAAGGTACCGAGGACGTATTTCGCCATGAGACCTCAATGTTCTCTACTTCGGTAAATGACTTAAGGGCGTGTTCTCAACGGTCCCAGCGTCGCGGCGCTCCTCGCGCTAAAGACTCCTGTTAATTATGAACGAATCGCTCGTTAGTCGTGACGACGTCGACACTATTTTTGTCGCAACCTCCATCGACGAGATTTACAAAAGGGTGACGGATTGATATCTCGTTAAGAAATTATTTAACAGGAAGTCTAGGCCGTAGCTGTATATACAATCCTTATACACTATATAAGTCACCTGCACTTTGTCATTGCGTGTGCATACATATAAACGTATACAAAGATGGCAAGAGTAATGATCATGGGAAATATTTATGATAAACGATAAACAGTAATGAGACAGAAAATCATTAATATCTTGAGTGATTTCGAATGTCTGACTGATGAAAATATAATGAGCACAGTAGATTTGGTCGTTAACTAAAACACCACGTATGCACCTTAGCATACCCCGTATAAAACTATTTTAATTACAACACGCTCATGTTCAACCTGTACATGAAAACTGAATGAAACAAATTGAGTCGACCACATTAATAATTACTGTACATTTGGCTTACCCTGTGCAGGATAAAAATAGTGTAATACAAATTCATTAGTTTCTAAATTTCAAAGCTGGTACTATAAAATTATATGTTGTCAAAGCAACAATGACGGCTTTCATTATACAATTTTATCATAATATATATTTTCGTGATTGACAAATTTTTTACACCGTATATATAGACATTTGTGTATATCGACTGATTCGATTATTATAAAATTTTTTTAATTCTCTAACAACGCACTACGCGTTACGTATATTTGTGTATCCTTGTTTCAACTAGTTATTTACATATCAACGCCATATATAGAGTGAAACGTATCGATGTAAAAAAAAAACGATAGATACTTGAATGGCTCCAGGCCCTCAGTCGACGGCTCTATAAAGCATGCGAATCCGGACTCTCGCTGGATTTATTACATCCGACGAAAAGATGGGGACAAGAGTAAAGAAAAAAAAAATCCAATTTGCAGAAAAACGTAAGATTTTGTAAACACAGTGATAAATGTGAAAAACGATTTTCTGTCTGAATTTTAAGGAAATTTACAAAAGACCGTGTAAACTTCCTCTGTTATTCTTTTACCAGCAATAAGTTGGCAGCGTAAAATACGATCGGGAGCGATACTGCTGTATTTCTATTTCGCAACCAAATATAAAATATCCTAAGCAGGTACTTATGTACACGATGGAGTCTGATCGATAATCGATCAATACGAATGCCATTCAAATGGTCCAGACGACGATTACGTGAATTCGCGAATATTTAGTGTGCACGGACTGGAAGTTGTATTGGTGCTATTCGAACTCGGCTTATCGGGCTTGTATTCTATATGAATAAAAGCTATAATACAGAAGGATGAAGAGGGATACAAAGAAATAGAGGGGGTTTCGATAATATCTAATCGATTTATCGACTCCGACGATACGATTCACCCTTAGATTCCTTAGTAGTATAAAAATTCATAATATCTATTGATAGAAGTAATTCTTAAATTCTAATCTATTCTATTAAATCATTTAAAAAGTCGCTTTTGATTTTGTAATTCACACATATAGATGAACCATGCTGATAAGATTGTAAATTGATAAAAATCTGAAAATCAATCTAATAATTAAATAATTGAACAATTTCTAAATGCAATTTTCTCGTCTACTGCTCTTCGGTACAGGTCCCAAGTCTCAATCATACGTATTCCTAAGAAAGGAACAAACGGAAATTCCGGAAAGGAACAAACGTCACTGGCATTAAATAATTAAATTAACTTCGAAACACAGAATCCACTGTCTTTATCTCAATTGAAGAGATATTAAATTTACAAAAATTCTTTCTTGCCGCCAACATAAATTCCGAGCGCGTTTAAATAGATCGTGCGGATTCGCTCAGCGCCGACTAATTGTCACGTCGAGCAAGACCGTGTAAACAGGATTGGGTTAGGGTGACACGAAAAACATTCCGGGTGTCGTAACGTAATCTGTTTGAGTTTGAAACTTGTTTTCCTTTTTATTTTCTCTGCCTCGCGCGCCCTTACGAGCTACGAGAAAGGAACGTAAGAGGCAGCTTTTTATTTTCACGAGTAGTTCAGCACTTTGGACTTCCTCTCTCAGCCGGGTTCACTGGGATGGAGAATGAGAGTGAGAGAGACAGAGTTTGAGAATTAGTCTTTAAATTCTCGTTGCGTGACAATACGATAATTTAAGGATGGACCGCGAGTTCCTCCTATGAATTCGACCCTCGTCCGTTAATAGCAACAAGTTACTTTTGTCTGTCAGCAAGATAGACTCTACGTCTCTATATTTAACCGAGCGAACCACTAGGACACGAGGAAGCACAAAAGAAAGTAGACTATAATGGCAGGGAAAGGAGTGCAAGAGAAACGCTCCGAAGAACTCTCGTGTCTTCGAGAGACTCGAACGTGTAAAGGACCGTTAAGAAGATAGAAAGAGACTGAGATGGCCAGAGTTCACAGAAGTCGTGTACCCTAACGATTCCATTTGAAATTCAATACAAGAAAAAAGGGCAAAGGATAGCAGCCACAATCCACCCTTATTATCGTGCAAGAGCATGGATTCAATAGTAGTCGAAATATTTCAGAAGCAGTAACACCACCTCAAAGGAAAAAAAAAAAAAAAAACTATAAAACCAAACAAGAGAGGTGTTAACAGACATGGATTTCAGGTGGTTTCTAATTGGTGATAATTTTTCTAGTACTCTGACAACATACCAAGAACCATACCAACTGCTACTGTGTATTCAGAAGTTGAAAAGGAAAAGAAAAAAATGTTCTATCAGACTACTCTGACTGCCGAGGCTTTCCGCCAAAACATTTCCTACACTTTAGGTGTTCCTAAAAACTATCGGAGACTTACGGAACGCACGATAAACTATAATTTTTAACAGCTTCGAAGGATTATCCCTGATTCCATTTTGGCGCTTGGAGTTATATTTTTAGTCGTCGGCTTATACGGCACTCGCGTGCTTGTACCAAGGGGGCAGGGAAGGGGCGGGTGGCAGGAGGGGGGTTGGCTTCGGTTGCGCCTTTGGTAAATACAATTTATTATTATCACGGCAGACCGGAATACCCTGCGGATACAGGTTCCTTCAAAATCTACTTACCAGGAACGATAGGACGTTTATGTATCCTGACAGGCGGGAGGAGAAGAGTAGCGGAGTGAGAAGAAAAAAGAAATGGAGAAAAAGAAGCATGGAAGTAGCTCGTCTTATCTTCAACCCTTACTTACAAAGCATGAATGGCTTATCATTTTCAAAAACATCCCGTTGGCAACTCAGTTTATTTTTATTTTCTCTCCCTTCCACCCTCTCGGTCTTTGCCTCTTTTTTTACACACGGACTGCATATACGAAAATTATGATGAAGCAGAAGAAATTATCTTGGATATTTACTGTGGTAATAAAGCCGCAGCGCTGTCGACACAAGATAAAAGATCCGCTCCTTCCTGCACCAAGTGCATACAGTCGTGCCCATACGATTTATGCTACAGGGTACAGGGTACGTGGGACCTTGCGCATAGCGCGAACTTAACTGGCAAAGGTTTTATTTTTTTTTGTAAATTTAAAAAAATTTTTTCATTTCCTCTTACACAATTGGGAGATTGATCGTTGCGTATTTTGTCTTTGAAGTTGCGACTGGCTGTTACGTTTTTTTTTATTTTCTTTGAAAAATAAATTTTACTGTCAGACAATTAATCGTGCGAGTTTGCGATTCTGTATGTTATCCTACTTTTGGGAAAGTTTTCAGTACTGTTCTGTTATATGTAGATATCTATTTTGCCATTTGAAGAACGATCCAGTGCTCTATTCCCTTAGCGACGTAATAATCTTATGGAGTTACCGTTCTTTATTTTAATATCTTCATCAGATCTTGATCGCTTCCCTATACTGGAGTACTGTCCGCTTAATAGCCTTAGGAATGAATCCCGCATGAAAAATTGGGATTGAGTGTACTAAATTTTGTAATGGATGAATATCAATGAAATATCATGTCTGCGTTGGAGTTATTTAATACTTTAATACCGTAGTCATTAAACTTTATAAATAAATAAGACATACACGATACATTCACAGAGCAATAAAAGTGCCCAAGAAATATCTGTTAGTAAAGTCCTGAGCGATGATTAAAAATGAAGAGTATATTGAAAAAGTTGGATAAATCAAAAAAAAAATATTACCTGCAGCAAAGACAGAAAGAAGCAACCCTATAACAGCTAGGTGTCTCATCTTGGAAAATTTGCCTTGTTAAAAAAGATCACTGTAACACAAATGACAAAAACTACCAAAAGCAAAGCACGCACTGCGCTTGGCAGTACATTTTCCGTGTGCGTCCCGCGCGCGAATGTCTGAGCGCGATAAAGGGGAATCCCCGCGATAAATAATTTTTATGATCTGAAATTTCGCGAGCGTTCACACCACTATGTAAATCCAATAAGATCGTGATGCGGGTAACGATCGGATTGGCCGGATCGCTTTAAGTTTTCATTCAAAAAATCGTCGATCGGCACGAACACGTGGCTCGGATGGAAAAATGATCGCACAGGCAGGACGGCAATGCCGATATGAGTGAACCGGCTCGGCAGCGAGGCTGGCGCTTCGAGACTGAATCCGTGTATGTATCTCGGAGTCTGAGTTCTCAGCCCTACCAGAGTAGCAGAGAGTATGCGGTAACGTATAGATGCTGTTTCTTCCGCCATAAAGCCTATATATAAGTTCTACGTTAGAAACTGGACCTAATATAGCAAAACAATAATAAAATTAATAAACCAAAATAGGCATGTGGTACCGATTGCAAAAATATAGCGATAAGCCTTTCAAAATCTAATCATCTTTGGATACAGGTAGACGGAAAATTTCGACAAGGAAACTGAAAACCAAAATGGCGGCGGCGTCGTCCCGAAGAGAACTTCAACGGAATAAAATGGATTGACGGTACTCCATGGTGCAAGGGATGAAATGACCTTGAAACGTAATTTAGCATCGGTCAATGTCAGAACACTGCGCGGGGATAATAAAGGAGTTTGGAACGAGAATTTTTGATTTTCATGGATACTACGGTATCGTGGATGTACGTGTACATCGCATAGGTCAGGCTAATCACTTCTGCCTGAAACCATTTTCATTGCTCGCGAGCTGATTTTATGGCTCCGTAACCTATTTATAGTAACGGCTTCCCAGCTTTTGCCGTTTGTGGACTCGCGGTCTGGCTATGATTTGCGAAAATATTGTTATGGGATTATTTTTCATGGTAGCCATTTTTACGAGATTCTCAACGCGCTGGGAATTTATCTCATGTGCTTTCAGATTTATATCGGTTTATGGCACCCCTGACGTGACAATATTGACGATGGTATCTACACTCGACGGTGTAAAATATATTTTGATATCTATACTACGATTTCACTGAATTCTCTGTATTTGCAAAACGTTGCAGAACCAACACTGCATAATTGCGTGCAGTGATCTATACCTAATAGGGATATCATTAATGTAGATGATGTGGTTTTACTTAGTTTCGTTTAATTACCATGCGTTATGTACTATTGAAACTATATATTACGTATATTTGATTCCAATACTATTGTATATATGTTACTAGTAATTAATTGTTGTACCATATTGCTATTTTTTATACGTACGTACTATATTAAAGTGTAGGAGTGATAAGAGGTATACCTCTGTTCGTGTATTTTCTTTTGTATGGATGATAAATAATTGCTGACATAAAAATTATTAGAAAAGTATGTTCTTATATGTATAAAAGCCTAGTATAAAACTGACGCGCCTGTGTACAAGCAACCCGTCTTTCTTCAAGAAAAACATATATCCCTAATTTAATATACGTTTTCTGAAGTTCTCATAGCTTTTCTATGCTGTTGTGAAGTTAAATGTAAATTCTAGTGGGCGTATTTACTAGAAGTTCCGGAACCCAATACACTGAAACGTATTTATTTTACAATATAGCGACTGTTTGATCGGCTGCGTCTGAAAAATAAATGATTTTGTAAATTAATATTCTATACGCAAAGTTTGAACATTGTAAAGTCTTAGTTTTCGTAAATAATCTGAGATACGAATATACCGTATAATAATTGATAAAAATTAATTATTATGTTTTCAGTATATACGATTTTAATAGTGGCGACATCGAGCTGATACAAAAGAAACTTATCTGCACTTAGATACCTAAATAACCTGCTGTGAATTCATTATGTCAAAGTGGTTTTAACCGTAGGTAAAGCAGACGCTGGAATCAAGGTAAATCCACAAATCTAGTGTTCAATAGGATTTGGCCGCTTAGCGCTGGACCACGTCGTGGACTCACAAATTCCTACTTCCTGATAATCCAAATGTTAAGGCACATATTTTTGATATGATAATTTGTAAGATCGTGGCAATAGCTGTAATTTAAATATTATGAACAAATTATATGAATTTATAATAATACTTGCTGCTAAATGTAATATATTTATTAATAAGAACCTACCAGCTTTAATAGTTATTAATTGGATCAGGTTTGTAAATAACAGTAACAGCTTTCATGCTGCGTAACCCATATTTAATAAATTTTATATCCTTTACATTAAGAACTAATTTTGTTGCTTCTATTGCTGTAACAGTCTTCAGCTCCTCTTGCGTTAATATTGTTAAGGCATTACTCACAGATTCTGAGACTTCACTTTATCATGCACTATTGATGTAACGCTCACTTCCAAAAAACGTAGAGAACAATGAATCATTAGTTCAATTAGGCAGAAGACTAACTAGAAAAGAATTATACAATATATGTAGAGAGAAGTACCATGTATCTTGTACCAATATTATGAAACAGTTTACTCAACCTTAAATAGAAGATATTTCATGAGGAGAGATTACATGAAATATAACTTTCTAGTTATTATTCATGTCGTCCTGAAAAATAAAATTTGAAATTGTAGACACAAAAACAACGTATAATATTAAACGAAACTTTTATTTGCTGATGAGGCGCAATATAAATATCACAAGTTCAATTGTCTAATTGTAAGTTGTAAAAAAAGATTTCATAACTATCCAGACTGTTAATTTTTATTAAATCCTATCAATAAGGAGATCAAATTATTCGGAATTAACATTTTCCACCCCTAAGTCGAAGAACTAAGTGAAGAGTTGATTCTTTTTGGATATTGTAGTCTGAGAGAGTACGTCCATCTTCAAGTTGCTTTCCAGCAAAAATCAACCTCTGCTGGTCTGGTGGGATTCCCTCTTTGTCTTGAATTTTAGCCTTCACATTTTCTATCGTGTCAGACGCCTCAACTTCAAGGGTGATCGTTTTACCAGTTAACGTTTTAACAAAGATCTGCATTCCACCACGAAGCCTGAGTACCAAATGAAGAGTAGATTCTTTCTGAATATTGTAGTCAGATAATGTTCGGCCATCCTCAAGCTGTTTTCCAGCAAAGATCAACCTCTGCTGATCTGGTGGGATTCCTTCCTTATCTTGAATTTTGGCTTTTACATTTTCAATCGTGTCTGAGGCTTCAACTTCAAGGGTGATGGTCTTTCCTGTAAGAGTCTTGACGAATATCTGCATTCCACCACGGAGACGGAGTACCAGATGAAGGGTGGATTCCTTCTGAATGTTGTAATCAGAAAGAGTGCGGCCGTCTTCAAGTTGCTTTCCAGCAAAGATCAACCTCTGCTGGTCTGGTGGGATTCCTTCTTTGTCTTGAATTTTAGCCTTCACATTTTCTATCGTGTCGGATGCCTCAACTTCAAGGGTGATCGTTTTGCCAGTTAACGTTTTAACAAAGATCTGCATTCCACCACGAAGCCTGAGTACCAAATGAAGAGTAGATTCTTTCTGAATATTATAGTCAGATAATGTTCGGCCATCCTCAAGCTGTTTTCCAGCAAAGATCAACCTCTGCTGATCTGGTGGGATTCCTTCCTTATCTTGAATTTTGGCTTTTACATTTTCAATCGTGTCTGAGGCTTCAACTTCAAGGGTGATGGTCTTTCCTGTAAGAGTCTTGACGAATATCTGCATTCCACCACGGAGACGGAGTACCAGATGAAGGGTGGATTCCTTCTGAATGTTGTAATCAGAAAGAGTACGTCCATCTTCAAGTTGCTTTCCAGCAAAGATCAACCTCTGCTGATCTGGTGGGATTCCTTCCTTATCTTGAATTTTGGCTTTTACATTTTCAATCGTGTCTGAGGCTTCAACTTCAAGGGTGATGGTCTTTCCTGTAAGAGTCTTGACGAATATCTGCATTCCACCACGGAGACGGAGTACCAGATGAAGGGTGGATTCCTTCTGAATGTTGTAATCAGAAAGAGTACGTCCATCTTCAAGTTGCTTTCCAGCAAAGATCAACCTCTGCTGATCTGGTGGGATTCCTTCCTTATCTTGAATTTTGGCTTTTACATTTTCAATCGTGTCTGAGGCTTCAACTTCAAGGGTGATGGTCTTTCCTGTAAGAGTCTTGACGAATATCTGCATTCCACCACGGAGACGGAGTACCAGATGAAGGGTGGATTCCTTCTGAATGTTGTAATCAGAAAGAGTACGTCCATCTTCAAGTTGCTTTCCAGCAAAGATCAACCTCTGCTGATCTGGTGGGATTCCTTCCTTATCTTGAATTTTGGCTTTTACATTTTCAATCGTGTCTGAGGCTTCAACTTCAAGGGTGATGGTCTTTCCTGTAAGAGTCTTGACGAATATCTGCATTCCACCACGGAGACGGAGTACCAGATGAAGGGTGGATTCCTTCTGAATGTTGTAATCAGAAAGAGTACGTCCATCTTCAAGTTGCTTTCCAGCAAAGATCAACCTCTGCTGATCTGGTGGGATTCCTTCCTTATCTTGAATTTTGGCTTTTACATTTTCAATCGTATCAGATGCCTCAACCTCAAGGGTGATGGTCTTCCCAGTCAAAGTCTTCACGAAAATCTGCATGATTTACTGTAAAAAAAAATTTTCCATAAGCAATGATACAAAAAAAATGCTAATACAAGCTTTAATGTCAACTTAACAGTTTTCGATCAATAACGTTGCATTGACGTTCATAAAATGGCGGACGGCTGATTAAATATACGTAAAAAACCATTGTACTAACATTAATTAAGACATAATAGGCATTGAGAAACGGGAAATTTTGAAATTTAGTAAACGTTATATCTAATCAATATAATAATAGAAGAATATGAGCTATTCAATTTAACTGCTTATTCATGGCATAGCGGCAGCCATTTTGATGAAAATGAACTACGTATTTACGCATCATTGCACCACCAGATTTTTACAGATCTAAAAAGTACTAAATTTTATAGAAATATATAAGATCATTATTTTCGTACATTAATAGAATGAAACTGCAACAGTATAAGCTTCACAAACATGGGTGATAGTTGAATATTGTCTAGTCATCAATGGCGTCAAAAGACGTTCACGCCCCAAGGACAAAAGAAACCTACCATGATGTAAAAAATCGAATTCAATTATAAGCCTTTCTGTGAAAATACCAAGTACATTCCTACGAGAAAAGCGGATTACAAATGAACTATACTGTCGACATTTACCTGGTACGTATGTGCTGTGAAATTCGAGAACGAATAATTGATAAACTCGTGTAAAACACTCTTCTGCGCTTCAAGAAACTCTTTGTAACTGGTTCGAGCTCAAGCATTCACCACTTATATATTGACGCTCCCACTACTAAATCGATGAGTGAAGGCGAAACACTATTGGTCAGAAAGAACCGTGGGGAAATTTCATTGGATCACACCATCGACGTCACGACTCCTGATTTTGTCGAATCTTATTGGTTTCTAGAACAAAGCGTAATCTAGAATGTTCTACGCAAATTTTGTGAACACAGAATTCGCAATATTGCTGTTTGTTGATTTACCAAAATAGCATACCTGTCTTTTTACTAGGAATTTATCAAATTCGTGTCTCAAGTATATGTTATATCAGGCGTGTTTCCTTGAATCTCTTGTCGTGAGAGTCTAGATGGCAGCACAATATTTTGCAAACAAAAGACAAATTAAGTTCGTTCCACTCTGTTTCACAACATTGCAATGCTATAAATTTATATATTATGTTTACTATTTTCAAAAGGGATTTTTAATAACAGTTAATCCACATATATACATGTATGCCATTATGTGCTGTGAAGCACAGTTGTCTTTATAAATACACTGGCGTAATTAAAATTCATAAGTAACAACACTACATTTTCATGACACACGAATCTGATATTAACTATAGCATTATACCTCTGTACAGTTCATGACTTAAAAATGTTTGCCGTGATATTGTATGCGCCTCTCATTATGTGACTTCCAGTCAAACTTGTAAAGTCACACCATTACTCATTACTCAGCATTGAGTCAAGCATGGATGATGAAAAAGTATAGCAAAATGTCCTGTTTCTCATTTTTTTCGAGTTTTTATTTGTTGGATAATGGTAACTTTAATTCTCTTTTTGATCCCCATAAGTTTGTTAAAATTTACTTGAATGCCATATGTGTACATACATCGAGTCAAAATTAAGTTCCAATCTCAAATTGGACATGTTACCTTATGGTATAATTGATGAAAACTTTTTACGAAGAAACTTTTCCAAATCATCTTCTGTAGACTAGAGATATGCACCTTGTCACTTTTTCAAAGGTGCCTCGTGTGACGATTCTTGCCGTATATACATATGTAGGTATGCCTCAATCGTCTTATGTAAACTCATTTCCTTCAAAAAAAAATTTGATTAGGCAGTCTGCCAAACCAAACTGTTTACGTATATTCTATGAACGAGTCGCAACAGGCTAAACGTCATAAAAATAACTATGATCCCGATCACGCGAATTTCTAGCCATTCAAAATAAACGATACAACTAATAAATTCGTATCTCTATCATTAGAGACAAGAATACTCGACAATGACTACGTATTCAGTACAGAGGTCACCGATTATTTTTACACTCATTGCGCTACAAGGTCGTAGTTAAAATTTGCAAATATCCACGAAGGCTATTCATTAATAAAATATTTTTAACGCTATCCCGAAATTTCTAGTGTTCAATAATACCCACAATGCCGCATATGTAAAAAAAAACATGCTTATTATAAATGACAAGGTTATCCTGATTATAATTAATTTTTCATTCCACAATGAATCCGAATATCCTGGAATATTTCTAAAGTAAATGAGCAAATGTTAAACAATGTCAGTAATGATAGTTGCTTATACTTTTATTAAACGTCTATCTTAAATACATATGTAAGGTAAAAGTGGAAAAGTGTCCATTTGTATTTTTCCGTTTAAATTTGAATTGCTTTCAAAGTATCATAATAGTAGAACTGTGACCGTTAGACATAGTTGACATCGAGCAATTGCAGAATAACAGTAATACATATGTATGTAGATACCTAAACGTCAATTTGACATGTATTTCAACAACGTGATATTACGACGATAATAAACCTCGGAGTACTAGTATTCCAATAAAAATAAAGATAAATTAAATTAATCAAAACATAAGCCTGCTATCTCGATACGTATAAATGAGATGTTTTGAAATCTAATTTAATGCCGCAAGTGTGATTAATACGCAACGCTTTGATGAAAACAATTTCAGTCTATAATAAATATGCTCGTTTTTGAGAAACAAAACACATTTATTGTTCTCGAGGGATTACATTTCAAACAGCAATACGAATACATAATTAAATAAAAATTAATTAAATCACCCAACATATCCTCTTACAGTTCATCTTTATACCACCTTTACGATTTCATATTGGTTTCTTCATCTTTTTTATTTTGTTAATGTACAATTTGAGATATTACATCGATAATTTACAACGTGTTTAATAGTACGATTATAGATATTATCCACGGATAAATAATGATTGAACGAAGGAACTAAATTTGTGAGATAAAATAACGACGACATGTTTCGTAGAACTTAATGAAATATTTGCTTACACATTCATTATATTTATATAAGTTTTATATATATATACGTACTTATATATGCCTTCAATTCATGTTACACATTGAAAATATGCGAGCACTAATTAGTACGAAGTACGAAATTAGGAACCTCGAAACCGTCATAAATAGAAGGGAGAATCATATCCGAGCGATAAACAAAATTCTAAATAAAACCGAGAATAAAATGTAAGCTCTAGCTCTACAAGTTATACATTTATTTAATTAACAAAGAAAAAAGGATACATCACGTGTTTCTCTCTGTCTCGTAAATCTTAAATCTTATACTGAATTGCCTTCCAAGTACAGCGTGCAGAATACAATGGAGGTTCAGTTATCACTTAACGAAACTTTAATCAAATACAATTTACGTGGTCGATTGATTTATTACGCCAGCATACGTTTTAAGCATGCATGCGTGTGTATAATCATAAGTCAATTGATAATCAGATACCATTTTCCACGTTACATTACATACGAAAAAATTAAATCAAATTTAAAATGAAAAATATTATATAAAACAAGAATTATTGAAGCTACTATTACTTTGAAACCATTCTTACTGACTACCGCAAATATTCATCTATCATTGGGACTCAGGCACATTGTCAAAAATATATATGAAAAATGCAGGGCATGTGGTAATTGAATTAAACAAAGATACGTAATTGTTCTCTTAGACATATTCGGTTTATTCAATGATGGTTTCAAAATACAACAGCAGAGTCATACATTGGATGTCAAATGATTTCTCAATAAAAAAAAAAACAGCGCAGCTTTTGTTTCCTAAACGTCTCTTTCAAGAATCATTTTGACATGCTTACTTTTTCGAAAACCACGAACTACGTCAGGTTGATAGGAATCGTAAACACGTGCGCTCAACCCTGGTCGACCATTTAAAGCACCTAAATTCACAGTGAGCCACTAAAATAACTACTAAATTTCTCAGCAATCTTCTACGTGGATCAACGCACGATCTATAAAACCTATGTTTAAACGCGATCGTAAGTAATTCTCAGTGCTTGGTTCATTTCTGCATTTTCGTACGATTACACACACAACATACACATCAAGGCGCGATACAAACTACGTCTACGCTTAAATTGAAAACTTATAAATCAATAATTCACGTTGCTTTGAAACTGGACACCATCTCTCTCGATTCCTATGAACTGCCATGATTCATTTTATTCTCTTGAACCTTCGTATAACCCATTGTGACTCTTTTTTTTTGGAACAAAGCTAAATATAGATAAATTCAAACTAATCAATCATCTGTCGTCTCGTTCAATGAAAGCCTAGTGCTGGCGTAGTTAATCGTACCAATTGCCTGTTCGTGCAGGATTTCTTAATGCCAGTTGTTCCTGCAAATTCAGTCGAGCGCGTCGTCCTAGAGATACGAGATGGACAGGACAGGCACACTGTTCTATGCGATACGAGAAAGCCGATTGGAGAAATCAATTAACGTATATTCACATATGCGAGCTGCCTGATATGAACGAATTGTGTCCATTTCCTTTTTTATGAGGATACTACAAGAGAAACTACGCGCGTCATCTAGTTTTTCTCTTCTTTTCTGTTCCTATTTGCGATCTTGACATTGTTGCTTCTCGTTGTTATTTTCTCACCCTCTTCCCTATTCTGCTCCCAACTTTTCTCTCTGTCTCTGATTCTCCCTACAATTCTTCGACTCACCGACGCCTTTTTCTTTAAACAAGCAATTGACACAAGGGACAAATGTCTCTTAGAATTTATATAAATTATACTTAATCAGTAAAGTGAATGTTTTGGTGGATCTACTTGGCGTCCGTCTCCATCTTCATCTCCTCAGCTTTCTTGTCCTTTTTCGACGCCTCGCTATCAGTACCCTCGCCATTGCTATTATCACGTCGTCGTTTTCGAGTAAAGCGGCTACCCTTGTATTTCGGTGGCGGCAGCTGCTCCATACCCAGGACTTTGTGAATCTGCCGGAATGCGACTAGTCTGAGGGCATGTTGCGCAGACGCAGTGATGTCTTCTCGCTGCTGAGCACTCATGCTTCCTATCGCATCGACCGGCTCTTTCTCACAAGGATCCAGCAGACCTAAAACACGTAACGCTGATTAATATTTCACAATTCATTTACAGCTTTCACCTTTCGCGTAAAAATAAGAAAAGATCAGTCTGCCAAAATCATCTTAGACATAAAGCTAACACTGCTTAAGATACAAGAGAGCAAAATACTTGTTCTCAGGATCAGCAAGCAGCTTTGCAGTATTCTCAGTCTCGTCATCGGCTCATCATTTCGTTCCATAGAAAATGCCATCTAAATAAAATCTAACAAGTGTATTCTTACCTGGGCTACCTGGAAGCAGAATTCCACCAGCCACGCATTCTAAAAGTCGTCTAAGCGCTTCACCAGGACTCAGTGGACCACCAGCTGTGCTGATTACCTTCTCAGTGAGCAACTCCAAAGCCTGTTCAATAATATCAATATTTCAGATTAATGTATTTCCGATATATCCAACTGTTAGTTCAGTCCCAATATAAATCTACTGACCCAAGGGTTCAGAGGTCCCCACGTTGGCACTCGATTGCAGAGGTCACGCATTATGCGAATCACCATTACACAGCTCTGGAGGGACGTTGCTCTAGCCTGCGAAAGAGGATTGAAAACTCAAAGCCGTGTAATTATACGCTGTTGTAATAACCACTTATCCATTCGGCGTGACAATAAACCCTATACTAACTTCTGTTTTGCTTTGTGTGGGCTTTAGCTATCCTCCCAGCCTCGTGTCCTATGCACCCTAACTATTGTTATAGCCCATATCAATATTACCGGGTGTTTACCGATCGTGCCTTGCAATTAGACAAACAAATGACCTATCAGTGCATAACGAACACGTGATAAAAATATATCTATCATGATAACCTTTGTCTTTAGTCTATCCGGGACGATCATCGTGATAAAAACACCCGGTACACTCATGACACAACTGTGTGTTTGTGCTTGTCTGTCTCGTAATGTTCAACAGTGCTCGCCACTAATTGAGTCCGTTTTATTGTTACCTTCTAGATTATATCTTTTAATTATTATTAAACCAAAGCGATGCGATTGCACTAAGTTTGGTCATTCTCTAAGACAGACCTAGAACAGACTCAGTATAGGCTACGGCGCGATAACTCTCGATCCAGAATAATCAATTGGCTTAATCGAAAAAACGTTTCCGATCGGTTTCAAATAAAATAAATAAAACTATACTCTCATCCGAGATCTGAGACTTGTATTACGAGATATATTGCGTTTTACGAGCAGTCCCCTATTATTCTGGATGTTGCCGATCAGAGACATAGCAGACGTAAATACTACCGATGCTGAGAGCCGACATCGGGTTTTATTTACATACTGCTTAAGCTCCTTGCCCGATATAGAACCATATCTGATCGCATTGTTGATGCAGGTTATTCCAATTCCTGGCAGTTAACACATTCATCGCACATACGAATGATTATCATTAACTGTAAAGTCGACGACAAAGCATCCACACCGCTTCTTGTCTAGATTTGAATCTCTCTTGGACTTCTCCGAAGTTTCATAGAAGCTAAAACTTGAGTCAAAATGAAAAAAAATAGTCAAAGTAAAAGAAAACGTGTCTAACGGACTTTAGAGAGAGAAAAAACTTTAAGATCCAATAAGCAATGGTTCAGAACGCACGTCGACACGACAGAATAATCAGGCATCAAATGCGAGCAAACAAGCATCGTTCAGGCTGATACATGCCACAACAGGATTGATAATCATAAAATAAAATTGTCACAAGGCTGGAAGTTCTAAGACTGCTCTTCTTACTCTTTTCTCTTTCTCGTATATATTAGAGATATAGAAGGACAAAGTTGTACGCGTGACGCGGGTTAGAAGAGAGAATAAAACAGAAAAATTGTACGCGAATGAGTCTGCGAGTGAGCATAGAAACGAAACGAACGTACGAACGAGCGATCTCGCCGAAGATTGGCGTTTAGACAATTTGAAACCTTTGAACTGAGAGTTGATTGATTCAAACCTGAAACCACTTGGCATGCCTGAGTGCAGCTAAAGCCTCCAAACACTTAGCCTTGGGAAGTACGTCTGGTGGGTCTGGTTTGGTCACGGCAGGCGTCGCCGGCGTCGTTTGCGGCTGTGCAGCTCCCTGTTGCTGTTGTCCAGCATTATCTGAGATTCCAACAAAGAAAGCACAACACGCTTAGACAACACTTAGAGTGTTTGATCATGCCCAGAGCTTGGGAGTGTCCCTCTATTTCTTTCTTTCCTTTTTTTCTATTTTATAATCTCATTTGCTTTTCTTTCTTTCGTTCTCTTTGTTCTTGTTGCTCTTGTACTATTTCATCTATTTATCTGTTTTATACGCATTCCAACAGCTCAAGCGCAGGTTCGCCCGAGAGCGATAGAAAAAAAAAAATCCGACAAAACATGTTATCGTACGGAATAAAAGTAATTACGTTCGAATGTAGTACGCAGCGACGCGCGAAACTCTCTTATTCGTATTCGTCCTCCTTCTTCCCTGCGGAACGATCGAAAAATCTCGGATGAATTTTGATAGTGTTACCGACCCACCATTTATTGGGAGTAGCACAATCAATCACGAGATCAAAATCGTAACCAGGGCCTCAAGATAACGCACGAGAGTATCGACACCGTCGAGCTTACGGCACTCGACGATATTGTATAGAGGGTGTATTTTCATTGTTTATGCATGATCAAAAAGTCCATAGTTTTAAGATTGCCTCAGCGTTGTTTTCGTATCCGAAAGCGTGTCCACGTTAAGCGTGATGACTCGAGTGGTTCTTCTTCGAAGGTGAATTCTCATTGGAAGATTGGATTTCCGACGGCTTAAGAATTTTTGCGCGCACGTATAAAGTATTGACGAGTGAAGATAATAATTTACGGACTTTCCTATGAAATTAAAGATAATGAACGAAAGTGCCGTGTTGATCAAGAGAGAAGAATCATGCTCTAGTTTAACCTATTAATCACGTTTCTCTTGTATTTAATCACTTCCGGTTTGATTATTGCTATCCTTTCCGTCGAAGAACCTTCACGCGATACGACACCGATCAACGCTTTCACGCTCGTCTAAGCATTCTTTTGGAATAAAAGATTTCGTGGACACACTAAAAGTGCAGCTGTATCGAGAAGGAAGTTAACGTCATTATGCCTGAGATCGTATGTACACATACTGGCAACCCCTGTTGTCCTTGGCTGCCACCGCGGCTTCCTGGTGCTTAAAAAAAATTTACAGAAAATCTTCCAGGCCATGAAAAGAACAAACGAAATTAGAGAAACCGTTTGGGCGCTAGTAGCGAGGCGAAACTGTCGAGAAAATAAAAAATGTGCTTTTTCTACAGGCAGTTCTTCTCGTGAGATCCTTATACGCATTATCCTTTTCTTGGCCGTCGTCATTAGTATCAAACGATTGAATCACCTGCTGGTGTTGGTGTCTTTGGCGTCTCGCGCATCAATGGACTCGTCAACGTCACGCTTACAGTTACAGTTCCACCAGACACTGTCAGTGCAGCAGATTCCGGATGTTTCCCCACGTTGTAAGTGTCCTCTGGAGCGACGCTTTTCAGCTGTGCTGGTAAAATCTCAGCCACTTTATTCAGGAGCGTTCTGAAATTCAAAATTGCGGATTTGTTATTTTCTTTTAGAAAAAAAATATATAATGCTGAACTTCGGACGGCATCTACCTGGTTGGCTTTTCAGCGCACAGTACTACAAGACAAACATGGTTGTCTCCGGACAATAAGAGACCCTTGGCAAGATTCCCAACGCGCATCACACCGCGAAGTATTCTTGAATCTTCTTTTTCCTTTTGGAACGAGAAGAGGTTTCCGTCACTTCCGTCCTCCTTCTGCGGCGTGGTCGCTTTCTTCTTCTCACCCTCTTCTTTCTTAACAATGTCTGTATTAACTGGTGGTGTTGTCGTATTGCTGGTGGTAGTTGTGGTCGTGGTCGTGGGGGCAGCCGAGGGTGCGACTGTAGCGGCAGCAGCTACCGGAGGTGCAGCAATCACAGGTGCCGTTGCGTTTGGAGTTGCTGCGGGTGGCAGTTTCTTACCTGAAGCAAGATCATCGCCTTGAGACGAGATGTATTTTACATGAAATTATATTGAACGAGCGAAGTTAAGAGGAAGCAAAGAATACTTACTAGTTTCGGCTAAAGTGTCTGAAACAAACTTCAGAGCTTTCTCAGTGTGCGAAACAATTTTCTGAACTGCCTGCAGTTCCTCTTCCTTGGGATAAATCGTCGAATGATGAGCCAGAACGTGTTTGTCGTCGGAAGAATCCGGTCGTCTCTGAGGTCCAGGGAACATCATCATAGGTGGAGGCCCAGGGAATGGTCGTGGCATTGGAGGTGCACCTGGACCGCGTCCATAACGTCTATACCATTCATAATATTCACATTCCTCTTCGTATCGTCGCCTCTCTTCCCAATATATCATCTCCTCGTCCATCATTGGACCCATAGGTCCCATGGGTCCCAACTGATTTATTTCTTCTCTACGTCTCATATATTCATCTCTCATTTGCTGTCTACGAAGCTTCTCCTCGAGCATTTTTCTCTGCTTGAGGCTCGGCTTCATATCGACGACGAGATCCGGATTAACCTTCTTCTTGTAGGCGAATCTATGGCGTCTGCCCTTCATGTGCATATCCTTTGCATTAGGATCATTGAAGCGACACTCACATAGCTTACAATTAAAGCTTATGATTTTTCCATCCTCCGATTTGTTCTCTTCAATATATTCCTGTCCTACTGGCTGTATGTCTTTCTCGTCGACCACAGCTTCCTCAACAGTGTCTTCAACAGCTGCTTCCTCTGTCTTGACTTCAGCTGGCTGACCTGTATTCACTGTGCCTAAATTACCAGCTGTGAATTCACAAAAGAAAAAAATTTGAAGCATGATCTCTTCTGTACAGCAGAATTTATGCGTATGGACACGTGATACTTACAGGCGACGAAGTTAATTTTTGGTGTCGCCGTGACTGTTGGTTTTTTAGCAGTCGCCGTTTTAACTGCCACGGCTGGTTTTGGATTTAGGACGGTCGGATCTGCACTAGGGATGGGTTTCCCAAGTTTGGTATGCAGTTTAACGACCTTCTGATGCTTGGCGCCTCTGATGTGGGCTGCGTAGGCATCGTTGCCGGTACAGGTGACATCGCAGAGCTCACAGCGTAGAGAATTTCCAGCTCCACGAGCTGGCGGTTGTTGTGGCACCTTGAGGGACGCTTCCTTCTTCTTGTGTTTCTGACCTTCTAAGTGCTCGCGATACGTTTGGGGACCGGCACAGCTGATCTTACAGACATCGCAATAGTGCAGCTGCTGAGGTTTCGGCGGCTGCTTCGGCCGCATCGGTTTCATTCCTCCACCGCCAGCTCCGAACCCCTTCCGTCCGTAGCCCTGCCAACCTCCAGTCTTCTGGTTAGTCGAATTGCTGTTTGCACTCTGTTGGGCTACATACATAGTCGCAGCGCTATAAAGCGCTGCGTCGTAGCCGGAATACGTTGTACTCGCCGTTTCTAGGGGAAATGAAATTGAAACCTCAAACTTGGGAGGAGTCGAATTTTTCAATTTACGAAACAACTTTACATTCGATTTCTCGTTAACTAATTATTGCAAGATCCGCGCGAGAAAGAATGGCAAACGTATCGCGAGCGCTCAACGAAAATCAAATAAATTGAGCGACTTTCGATTATTTCTTTATTTCTATTGCAACAAGTTCATCCAGAAGTGGAAGTGATATTTAATCAAGAGATCGGATTGCCGAATCATCATGCACGTGTGAGAGTCACGACCATCATCCTAGGACACAAAATACTTGCATCCTTAAGATTCAGAACAGACAAACACACGGTCGGTCTCGTCATCGTCTCGTCATTTCTCGCCCTTCCACTTCTTCGACATATCAATCCGAAAATCAGAGGGTCAATTTCATATCGTTGGTTTGTTCGAAGGACAAAACTCCTTTGAGAATGAACGTACGTAGTAACAAACAGTACTTGGCGTCAGCACAATAGCGAGTATATAAACATTAAAGAAACTTACTATTTGTCGCTGTAGAAGCAGTGGCTGCCGGTGTTGCTGGTGCTGTGTAGCCTGAAGAATAGGTAGCACTTTGCGTTGGATTGGACTGCTGATAAACTGTACTCGAAGCTTGGTAAGTTTTAGCTTGTCCAGTAGTCGTAGCTTGTCTTGCAGTACCTGTATAGGCACTGGTCGTGCTGTAAGCAGGTTTCGCTGCCTGATAATGAGTCTCAGTAGTTGTGTATGTTGCAGCTGCTGCTGCAGGTTGTTGGTAATAAGTTTTGGTGGCGTCATAGGTGGCTGCAGGAGCAGCCCTCCCGTATCCGTAGTCGTATGTTTGCGCTACGGTACCCGGATTCGCGGCTGGAGAATAGAAACGACGGTAAGTCCCTTGCAGTTGCGAGTCAGTAGATTGGAGTCCATATGATGTAAGCACAACAGAAGATTTACCGGCGTATGTCGTCCCAGTGGCAGCTGCCGCTGCCGCTGCTTGATAAGTTTCATATCCAGTGGCCGCGGCGGCAGCAGGCCGCTGGGTGTATGTGGCCGCTGTAGCCGCTGGTGTTACCGCGTATCCCGCTTGGCCGGTCTGATAGGCGGCTGCGCTGGTCGCCCTGTTTCCAAGAGAAGATGCAATAGAACAAAGTACTCGGTGTGGAAAAGGATATCAATAACAGTAAGAGGAAAATAAGGACTAGAAGGGAAGCAGGACGAAAGTCAACAGCAAAGTTCGGCGTTCTCGTTAACGCATCAAGAGACGCTCGATGGACGCTATAGCCGAATAGAGAAATGGCGGTCCGACCGGCAAAGTTCGCGTGCACCGAGCTTCTCCGTTGTCTATCGCCTGCGAGGATACCGCTTCTTTCCGATTTATCCGTCACACTTAAAGCTAATCACTTAACGCTATTGGTATTCAATCGAACTCGTACCCATATTGCGTTCCGCCGTGTGTAAACCCGAAATAATTGTTCTGAGCCATCCTTCCTCGCAGAGAATCCCGGAAAGAAGGACAATGGAGGAAGTCGTAGGGCGTGCCAGAAACTCAACAGAATGGCGGCGCTGAAGCGGCTCCTATTGGCTTTTCTGTTAGAGCCAGACACTAGATTGGCGAAAACCCTGTGATCTCATTGGCCGCTTCCACAAGAGCCAAGGAACACTCGAATGCCGCTGACGAACTCCACCTCGACGTTAATGCATGTCGAATCCGCAAGATATTTTACCGCGCGAAACTGATAGCCGGCCAAGAAATAATCATGCTTCTAGGCGAATATTTATTCACTTACCGCAGGTCCCTTGTCACTTCTGGGCACCCGTGACAACCATGTACTTTACTATATAATAAAGCTTTGCTAAAGCAGTAAGCGACCTGCGGCTAGGCTCCGGTCTGCGCAACGAAAAGCCAGTTTTAGACAACTATGTGGCTCTTACGCACGCGTGTATATTCCTTGCCTAAAGATGGTCTCTTCCATAACTGCCGCGCAATTTGAGCAATAGGCATCTTCCTCCTTTGGTCATGACTATTATTTGGTCGTTTCATCATGGCCTTTTCTAATTCCCAAAGAAAATCATATATTACAGATTCTCCCTTTTTTAAATAGCCTTTGTAATTAAAATATCTCTGCTCACTCTAAAAAAATGCAGTTTTACAAAACTATACATCTGATATTTCATTATTTGTCACCTTTTTTTTTATGATCATTATTGCAGATACGTCAATCTCATTTAGTTACCTAGTTGAACATCAAAAATTAAAGTGCAATCTTATTTTTGATATTGAATACTGTTATAATCGTATTCATTTATGAGCCCTTATTACTTTGAATATGAATTCATTGTTGTTTTCATTCTGTTTACATAAATATTATGTTAATTCTTGTCAACAATTATCCGTTTTGCAATTGCAATATTTAGCCATGATACGATCATGCATATGATATTCTACTGCACCCGTAGAGTTGTACGTGACAGGGGCTGTGACAGACAGTATAAAATAAATATGGCGTTAGTGTGGAATGCGTCTAAAAAACATAGTGATCGTGAAAGGTACGTATTGGTTTAAAAAAATAATTTTTTTCTTCTATATCCAATTCGCGTATCGTTGGATAGCCATAACTGTACAATTTTGCCAAGGCTCAGTTGTTAAAAGTGTTATTCTACATAACATCTGATTTGTAACCTCATAGTGTTATTAATTGACAAAATCTAGTAGTTTGTAATATTATTTAAGTATATTCAATGTAATTAATGTTGGAATAATATTCTTTGGTCTTCACAGGTGGGTGTGCATCTATCCAGTCTATTTGAATAATAAGAAGACCTTAGCAGAAGGACGCAAGCTGGCAAAGAATAAGTGCGTTGAGAATCCAACACATCAGGAAATCCGTGATGTCTTGCTAGCTGCGGGACTCAAAGTGGGAGTAGAAAATAAACTGCATCCAAAAGAGAGGAGCAAGGAATTATTATACAGAGGGAGGATTCGTGTACAATTGAAGAATGACGATGGCACTCCATTCCATAATGATTTTCCAACGAGAGATTCGTTATTGGAACACTTAGGGACTACCATTCCAAAGCTGAAAACGCGTCAGGGCAAGCAGAGTAGCAGCGAACAATCAACGCAGCTCTCAGCATCATCATCCAAGAAAGGAAAAGGCAAAGGTCGAAGATGAAGTACATTTAAAACATCTTGAAATACTAATATTTTGCTTGCAACTTACATGAGTTTAATTTTTTATCTCTATTGCGATAAAAGATTAATTTATAATGTAAACAATTAAATATATCTATTAAAATATAACTGGTGCTGTTTTTATAAAAAAAAGACTCTAGTTTAACACTGTTAATATATATTTAATAATTTATGATATTACATATGAATAAAGTCCATGCATTTTCTCATATTTTACATATGACATATCATATAAATAAATAAATTACAGTTACAATTGTATAGATTTACATATTGAAATATTATTTTGTATTAGTTGGAGTATCACTTCATGAACTTTCTCTTATCTCAGAATTGCATGTTGAATCAGTTTCTTTATCAGCATTTGACTTCTTTGAGGAATTTGGATTTGGAGCTGATACTATATCCTTTAATTTCTTTGAAAGGGCAGCACCCAATTTCGAATCCTTTAACGACTTTTTGAGCTTCTTTTCCGGGTTTTTAGATTTCTCTAAAGTTTCAGGATCATTATTATCATCTGAATTTGATTTTGCCACTATAGGTGGTTCAGATTCTTGAGATTTGTTGAGAGAGCTATTTTGATTTGATTGTCCAACAATTGAACTCTGATCTGCACAAGAAGATCCCCCTGATGATGCTCCGACGAAAGAATTATACTGAGAATTGTACCCAGGCATTGGTTGATTTTGGAAATTTGGGAATCCCAATTGTGAATTTCCAACTCTAAACTGAGGTATATTAGATGCAAACGAAGGAATACCAGTACCAAATTGTAGATTTCCACTATCAAAATCAGGTGCGCTAAATGCATACGAAGGAATACCAGCACCTAATTGTGGATTTCCACTATTAAACTGAGGTGCGTTAAATGCATACGACGGAATAGCAGCGCCCAATTGTGGATTTTGCATGAAGGAATGTCCCTGCATTTGATGCAATTCTCCTACATCCAATTGTTGGTTTGCATTAGATGCACCAAGCATACTATCAGATCCATGTGGATGAGATGATCCCAGACACGTTGCTCCCAATGGTGCATTACCAACCATATTTTGTTGAACAGATCCAACCTAAGAAAACATTTGTCAAATATGAACATACAGGAAAAGAAAGTGTATAATTATATATATTACCATATTTGTTTGATTAGGATCCTCATGAGTAGCACCAACCATCTGCTGACCTAGCGAATGACCCGAAGCTGCCATAGGATTCGCTGTGCCCATCATACCTGATCCTGGAACGTTACCCAGTCCTAGTAGCATATTAGACATAGCCTGTAGATTGTGTGGATTAAGCATTGCAGCACCAGCTTCTATAAGAGCATTTGGATTTGCTAATTGTCCTAACATGCCCATAGGATTGCCCAAGGAGTTTGCAAGAGGGTTGCCCAAAGCATTTTGTATCATTGGACCTGACCAAGGGTTTGCTGCACCTATCATGTGCTGAAGTGCATTTCCAAACTGCATGTTTGAAGTTGCTACCGAAGGATTATTCATTGCTACTGACTGAAGAGGCATTCCAGGCAAAGCAGATTGATGAGTTTGAGACACTATAGGAGACATTCCTGATGATTTACTGGATTGTGATCCCACGACTGATTCTTGTCCATGATTTGAATTTTGAAGTGAAGATTTTGCTTTTTCAGGTGCACTCATCAAATTATTATTTGTACCTATTTGATTGTAACTACCTTCTGCAGCATTACTAGCACCGATCAAAGAATTGCTTCCTAGTGCAAAGGGTGACAGCGCAGACAAAGCTCCACCATTCATAAAGTATTTAGCCACAAGATCTGCATCGGCTATAGTTAATAAAAAAAAAAAAAAAGAAATACACTATAATGTAAAGGAAAATTAAATAACCAAATATTAGTAGTACCAGCACCAAAACGTCTTCGTGAAGCAAGTAAACAGCGTGCACGACGGTCACCACCCAATTCATCACAAGAAACCAAATCCATTCCTAGTTCTCCTCCCTGTCTCCTCATTCTGTTAACGCACTCAGTTCCTGTAATTATTAAATATTATGTAATTGAATTTTTCCGTAATTATATTCCATTCGAAATAAATACCTTTCTTATTATCATTATCGATTTGACATTCACAGTATCCGTTTTCAAATGTGGCTATTCCATCGCAACCAGTGCATAGTTCAATGCATGTAAGAGCATTATTAGTTCTCAGAGCACCTCCAGATGCTAAAGGATTTTATTCACGTAAGAATAATTGTATATTAATTTTGTAAATAAAATACTATTGCCGTACTTACTTAGATATGGCAATGCACAAAATAATATACACGAATAAAGTCTCATGTTCATGTTGAATTAAATTTTCACTCCAGTTTGACTGTCAAATTATTACGAGCGGGAGGTCGTGATTGCATCTTCAATTTATAGCTTTAGTATTCAGGAATCTGCTGACTATTTATTAACATGCTGTTTATTCGTGGCAAATTCCTTAGTGGTCTTAATCCATTTCATTTATGCATTGCACCACATCGAATCGCAATGATTGAGCAATACTAAAATATTCGGCATGGTTATTTGAACGATGAAAATTTTATAATTTATATGCATAAGTTAATGTATAAGAGCTTATGATTAATTTTACTATTTCTCATTAAATGCTCGTAATTTTTGTATTATTAAAATATTGTCATTCAGACAAAAAATTCTTTCACCGTAACAATGTGATTTGGCACATTACTCTGACCAGGATTGGAACCTGGTTTACTACAGGCCACTACAGGCACAACGTAGGGTGCTGACCGAGATATCGTCTCAAGAGGATAATAAATATGTGAATCATAAACGATCACGGCTACAGAAGGTAGCGAAGTCAATATTACAAATGTGCATTGAAATTAATATCGTTATGAGAAAGTTTTATAATTGCAAAAGTCCCTATTTTTATGAATGGTTTATAAAAAATCGTTCGTACGCATTGACCTGTTTGATAAAACGTGTCGACAGATGGAATATTATTTATTTTTATATATAAATTATTTCAATAGATACCTTGTCTTGTATAACAATATAATTTTAATAATTGTGCATTAATTATTATTTGAATTAATGAGAAAACGAATAAAGATCATTATTCCCTATATAGCATGATCTGATGATTTTCGTGGCAATGTGACGAAGCTCAGATTCCCTAGATCACCTCACACTCCATATGCTCTCCTGATAGAATTCCCTCAATTATTGCTTTCGCAGCAAGTCAATGACGTTCACTACGAATTATACAATAAAAAAAAACTATCTCTTACATTGCCAAGTAGCTGAGCAACAGAGTATCAGTTTAGAAAATTGAGAAAGACAGGTTCAAGTCCATAAGAACGACTCAAAAGTATTAATAATCTTCTTTTTTTTATTTTCAAGACAAATCAACCCGTCGCTTAAAATGTCGTAAAAGAAATGATCCCATAAATTATTAAACCTCGTTACGAATACATTGATCTAAATTAATATTGAGAAATGCGCACACAAATGAAAACAACTTCCATAACCTCCTAGACTCCTGATAAAGATGGGCCGCTAGCGACCGCCGTTGCTACCGCGGCGTCGTGGTTAGCGTTGCGTTTTCCGTCCAAAAGCTGCTTCGCGGTTAAGCACCCGTATTCGCGATGAATTCGCGCAACCCCAGGTGCCTTCACCGAGTGGATTTCGCATACGAAGAAGACCCCGATAGCCGTAGCACACGTAGTGACACACCTGTCCACGAAGCCAAGGCACTCATCAGAAGCGATAGACCCACATGCTATTTCTACTCTCCTAATACAAGGAGTCTCCGAGAGAGCCTACCCCAACGACATCAGTGAAATCGAGTCCACCACGTTTACAGGCGCTCTCTTTACGCACCTGAATAGATTTCGGAAGTCAGGTAGAATCGATACCGACCTGAAATTCACCACCTGGAACTAAAGTCGACATTACACCTACATAGAACGTCAACCATTGCTCTCCTCACTCGTAACAATTGCCAGCAGTGGAGTCGCCATTCCTGTTCGAAACGGAGAGTCAGAAGTATGGCCCAAGACGATATCAGATCCTGGATTCAAGAATTCTCCACGTGCTCCACGTGCCCCACGAGAAGGTCTCTCCTCTCCTATACCTACTTGACTTCATTCTCTCATTGCTGCCGATGCTGCTGATACTGCTGCTACCAACTTCGTCACACCCCTGCTATCTTCTATTCCCCTTGGTTTTGCCACTGAAGTTAACCTGGCTCTCGCGGAGGAACTTTGCTAAAGTCCATACGTAACGTGCACCCGAGAAAATCGGTCTTGCTCGGGAGAAACTTCGTGAGCCATCTACTCTCCTGTTGCCCGCGCTCGAATAATGCAAATTCACGGCATGTGAGCGACGTGCCTAATTCGTGCTGTAGTTACGAAGACTTCCTCTGGTTCCTGAACATGTTCCCTAGGTCGTTTGAGGCTTTGGTGTATGCTTTTTTATCGTTTAGATATATCATTTAAAGTAAGACTTAATTAAGGTCAAGGCTTGTACATAGATATGCTGTCACAGGATTTTCAACTAAATATTCCTTGAATCGGATAAATAAATGGATTTGTGATAATAAAAATATTAAAATCAGGTATTCATTTATTAAGAGACTCAATGTCTCTAGACTTCATATTAGCATAGAAATTTCCTTGGGTTATGAAGACTATAGTCGGTCCACGTGTACGGTGTTTTTTTTGACAATTTAAAAAAAAAATTGAATTCCTCTAGAGAAAAAATGCGATTTTCCATTATATCACGTAGATTTGTGCTGAAATAAAAAATAAAATTTATTTCAGCATAAAATAATGTACATACATGTATATTTACAATCAGTAATACACGCTTTATGCAGAGCTATATGTATTTTGCTATAGGACTTTGATCTGTCAAAACCACATTAAACTCCTGAACTGACTATACTTTACCTATAATGTTCTTTCTGTATTCATTTTATTTCATTTCATTCGTCATACTGTGTGTTCTCATGTTTGCCTGGTACTACGATCTCTAACGGCTAGGTCGGGGCTGCGAGTCGTTGATTTAGAAAACACTCTTGGCAGTTTTATACTCTCCTAATACTGGTGTCAGTTCTTTAGCGACGGCGAAGACGACGACGAAGACGTTATCGCTTTAGGAACGGTCTTTCACGTTCATTTTAATACAGAAAATAACTTTTTTATTTAATTTTTAATATTATTTCGTTGATTCATGTGGATCTTTCAGTGATACAGTGTTGGATAGATAATTAACTTAGTCCGACTATAGTAATGATCATTCATTCTTGTTAAAGAGCCAAAAAAAAAACCTTTATTCATAAATGCTGTTTCCATTCGACGTGTAAACCCTCTACGTCTCATTTTCCTGCCACGCATTTTTCGTAGTCTTTTGTCAGCTTGTCAAACTTCTTGGCGCAATCGTTCATGTATTTGTGATCGATATCGTAAATCTGTCAAGAAGAATAGGACGGAGTAAATATTAGAGGTGGGACATTAACTCTCAATAGGGAAAGTAAAACCTTCTTTGTGAACGCGGTTTTGAGTTTTTTGTCTTCGAAGAGCATTTTTTCACCGGTTCTGAGATTGTTAAACACTTTAAGACGCAGGGGACCGAATTTCTTCTGAAACTTCTTCACATCATTGGCGCAACTACCTTCCAGCTGTTGAATCTCATTGTGAATTTTTTGTTCATCCTGGCCAAGCTCGTCCACTCTTTTTGTAAATTTCTTCAAGTCTCCATAAGCGCTCTCATAGTCTTTACGCATTTTTTGTTTAGTCTCATCGCATATCTGTAAATAACGTTTTTTTGGGTAAAAACGATGTATTATTAATTAATTTTAATAATATATCCCAAGTAAACCTTGGCAGTTGCTGCAGAAATTAAATCGGTGCATTCTGACTTGGACGATGGCAATTTGCTAATTGTAGGTTCTATACGCGTCTTATTATTTTCTATCCACGAATCGACCTTAGCGTCCAATTTCGTGTTATCATAATCCATAAGGAAAGTATCCTCATCACGTATGTTATCAGCGACTCTGGCTATGACTTCAGAGCTCCAATGAAGAACGCGATCCCTTTCTTCAATCAGTTCTTCCCAAGTATCAGGCATTCGTCCCACTTGTTGACCCATGATGTCGACTTGAAGTTTCGAGGATAATACAAATATTTGTAATGGAGTCGGCTATTATCCAAGTATGGTCTTCTAACGCGATGACCGAAAGAAACCGTGAATGCGGTAAATCACAAAGTTGCTTATCAATCAAAAGTTAAGATTTCGTAATAAATGCGAAAGGTATTTGATACTGTTAATTTAGAGATGATATTCCTGAAATTTCACGTTTATCTTGATGTTCTTGCCAAAATTTATTTCCGAAAATTTTTATGACGATCTTGTTTGCGTATTGCTCTTGTTTCAATCGTCGTCGTTCATTGGTTTCTCGCTTTTTCCAAATTACACGTAACCATGACACACCCGAACTCCATGACAGTAACCAACGATGATTCCGTAATCGCAAAATCATTACCGACCAAGTAGATCAATTGATCCTAGACTCTGCCAATAAGATAGAGATCGACTAGTGCGACAATGCTACGCACAGTGGCGCCATCTGTAGGGAAATGAAAGTTTTACTCGCCTCACCACGAGTAATTTTATCGCAACGGAATTAAACCAAATTAAACTCTGGATGTCTCTGGATCACATCGGATATCATTATTATCATTAACTGTTTTTAAAATTAAACAGTCTTCCATGAGATACAACAGAATTCAGAATACACCATTTCCCTAATACCTTCTACCTTAAAGAATCCTACTGTATTATTCCTATTTGAAATTCCTATATAGATCATACAGAAAAACTGATTAGCAGTAACTGGAACGGACATCCGTCCATCATCGAGACTCGAAGGATTGAATCGCGTACAAGTCCCTGACAGGGTGTCAATTCAAAGCAATGTAATCTCCGTCAAACGCGACCAATAATCGGCTTATTGATTTCGACTCGGAATGTGTTAAAGCCTCATCCACACAATAGAATACTACAGTAACGAACGGGTATTTACGAGTAACATAGCTATAATACTATACACATTATTACTTTTATGTCAAAAGCCTAAAAGCCTGCAAGCGTATGTACTGTAACGTAATCGATAAAAGGGAAATCACGTGACTCAATAATGGTCTCTGGTTTTATTATTTTTATCTCATTTCATGAACAGAACGAGATGCGAATGGATCGGCAATTTTGTTTTCGCTAAACGTAATTAACACCCTCGTTCCAGAATGATCGGTAACTCTTCGAAACGGCCCGGTGTACGCCTCCCCCACTCCTCCCTCTTGCCTCTCCCAACCAGTTCCAGTCAGTCTCCCGTTCGACGTGGCTGCAGCGGGTAAACAGTGAACTTGCGCATAAACATGGAAGCCAATCTGAGAATCTGAACATTACCGGCAGGCCAGTTTCTGGCTTATCGATTGCAATTTTCCCCAAGGGAAGCTTTACTACTGCCTCTGTGTGTACGCCGCTTAACGACGGCCATGACCGCCACTGCTATCGCATCTGATGCTTCACTGACCACATCCTAGCCTACATTACGTGCGAACTACACGTGAATAGGATCCTTCATCAATCCACTAATCCTGAGCAGGTATAGTAAACCAGCTACTAGCTAATAAAACTAGAATCCCTATAGATATAAATAGCATATCAAAGTGTAGTCAGCCATTCAAAACAATAGTATTAAAAAATTCCTATTTAAAGCATAAAGATTATATTTCGTCACAAAAACAATATGCTTCTTGGATACTTATAAAAAGATATTCGAACATGGCATTACTTAACGTATGATTCGTTGACACTTTCATGCAGTAATTTTTATTTAAACGTCGCACCTCGCGTTGCTGGTTGACGGTAAAGAGCAGGCGGGATTTATAAAATTTACTTGACGCTACGCACAGAGGACATATAACGGGTCCTGACAGTTGTCGGACGTACGAAACTTTGTTGACACCCACTTGCATGATTCTTGGATCTTCCTCTAAAACGACCTATAGCATCGCAGCGTGTGCGCAGTTTTTTACACGTCTGCACGTACGTACAATACGTAGTATGGATACGTCTCGTCGTAGCGCCTCTGCGAAACTTCCAACGCAGTCTCTAGCGCTACGTCGCTTCATGGCTTTATTCGAGCGACAAATTGAACTAAAAATAATCTCTTTGCGTGCCACCTAACCGTGCATACTCGCAAAGGTGGCCACCACCGAGTGGGAGCTCACACTCTTTGAAGTATACTGTACAACGAGTCAGCGAGAGTTGCCTTGTGATATATACGTCTTTTTTTACCAGATACCATACATATAACCAAAAGCCCCGTGAACCTTACGGCGACCTCTATCCTCTCTCTGCCATACCGATAAACTACTATCCCTTTGAATAAGTTACGAAGCTACCGTATTATGGCGCTACAAGGCTGTCAGAACTTCCTGACACTTTGTCAGGATTCTGTAACGATATTAGAAATATTTTTACTTGACCTAACATCTCTGTCGAAAATAGAGCACAACAGTACGTATTCGAAGAGACAACACAATCTGGAGTTCAATGGATCCTCTGGACAGGAATGCTCGTTGTCGCTGTAGGGGGATGAAATTTTGTATAAATCAGGTAGATATTTTCCCTTATGACTTCCACCTAGAATAATGCACACGAGCTACTTCAGGATGATAACCTTCCGGTTGGTCAGTCAAACATTACTGAAACGCAAACCGAAATTCGTGCCTAACTGGAGCCTATAAACTGTACGGACCAGCTGCCACAAAAGAGACGTCACTTCCCGTATCGTTTGCGTGCCCAACCACAAAGAATTAACCGGATAACGTATGTATCGAGCCGTGCATCAAAGGCAACCACTCTGTCACTGCATCTTATTCAAATTTTCCTCTATTTCGTTCAAGTACTATGGGGTCTCTTGAAATCATTCGTCCGGGAAGTCAATTCGAATTTCTGATATTATCAAATGCGCGACGTTATCAGAAAAGAGAAAAACGTCAATTGACCTCATGGGATATCAGAGATGGTATATCTCTTTACTATCGATTCTTCATACTACTTTTATATTATATTGGCATCTCTATGGCGGTAGAGTGACTTGATTTTGATTTGCCAAACTGAAATAATGGAACGACTCTGTTTATACCTTTGGGTTTACTTTTTAATGCTGATTGCAATTTTTTAATCACTTGTCTCCTATTACGAAACGTATACAGAGATGGAAGTAAACATCTAATCAATCCTTGCTAATTGGATTCGGATAATGTTTTCTAGGAGTCACGCTTCGCTGATTGTGATTTGATTCAATTAACCTTAAAATCCGATGGCGTCGTACGTCAGAGCCAACGGCTGATTCCAGGCCTGTATCAGAAAATAGAAATAACGCCTGTCGAATAATTATACTTGTTCGCAGAAAATTTATGATAAACAAATAAATGACTTTTAATCGTAAAACTTCATGGCATTAAAATTTTATTACGTGTACGAAGGGATGCTTGGAAATGTTATATCGTCGTGATTCTAGTTAATGGCTCAGCGATACTTGGTATTATGGTGAAAATATATTTCTAGTTATTGAGGTTGACCCGAATTTCATCCAGTTAATGGGATCATAAGTGTATTAACATCAGGTACGTCATATCCTGTATATTATTCAATTGATTTGTCAGCAGAATCAAATATTCCCAATCGTCTTAGCTAATCCGACAGGTAGGTCTATATCGTACCTGATCCATAATACAACAATGACAATATGTATTGCATATACAGTATACAGTATTGTATATAGATATATCGACTGTATAGTTTGTATACAAATATATATACATACATATACTATTGCGCGTAGGTAATTTCGAGCAGCATCCGTTCCGGTAGAAATTGCCCATCGAGTGGACCATTTCAAATTGCAGCTTACATTGGCCGGCTATTGAAAAGAGGGATGCGTGATTCCTTCCACCTTCCCACGGAAGGGAATTGGCTGATTTTAATTTTTCCCTAACCCTTGGAATTCGCCGGGAAGATTTTAGCTTTATATTTTTAGGGTATTTTTTACTTCCGGAAGTAGAGGTCGCCACTGTCCGTAACTTTGGGGTTACGTAAGTCTGGCAAGTCTCCATGATAAAATTTCGCCTCCTCTCAACGTCCTCGTGATAGCTAAGCCCGACGCATTTGTTAGGCAAACCACGGTAATGGGTTTCCAGGTTTTGCTGAGAAGTTCGAGGTTTCGTTAGCGCAGCCGGGAGTCGAAGTGGCTACGAAACCACTAATCCCGTCTAATCCCACTAGTCATTTCGCGTGGGTAACTGTCAGAGTCGCGGTGAAAACAAACCAGGGGCGTCTCCTACGTCGTCGGCCCTTCTCGCCGATATACACGGCCGGTATAGCCAGGACGTTGAAAGTTGAGCCGAATCCCATTGGACTGCAGCCTGGTTTAAACTCTTTGAAAAACAGAATATAAGGACGTTGACCTTGGAGTCTGAGAATTTCCTGGACGAAAAGGGACTCCGAGTCCGGCATTTTTATAAGTGTACCAGAGACGGGGGAGGGTAGGTCGGTACGTTGTTGTACGACGAAACTAAGCCGTAATCATCCCTAGATTGAAACGGGGCCTCCTCTTGGAAATGTTGAAAATCGCGATCCCGTCGACCTTCGACCTCGTCTGCACGAGACGAGTGCATCGACTCGCAGGCAATGCGCGACTGAAAGACCGAAAGGAAGACTCCCGGGTTATTTTAGATTCGCCGAGGCATTGTGAGTGCGTCCCTATTTGGCGAAGATGCTCGAAGTCTAATAAAAGCATCTCCCTCTGGTCCAGTGGCCACACTCTTTACCTCCCCATCCATCTCAATCCCATCTATTCGATTTCAGATCCGTGCTGGATCTCCACATACACCTATATCATCACGATACGACCCTGGCCTGGTTATCTTAGTTGAGATACTCGAGATATATTTTTTTTTTTTCGAGTACCATTGAAAAGATTTTTTTTCATCTCGAACTCTTTCTTATATCGATACGATATCTTCGAGATGACCGTAGAGGCACGCAGGCAGCATCTTTAATTCGCTTCCTATGGACCAAGATGTCCGCTTAGTGGCTGGCTGCCAAGCAGACACAATCCATACTATAAATACAGGCACCACTGTCCCTATCCTGTCCCACCCCGTACCATTCCATTCCATCTCGTTCCGTTTCGTTCCGTTTTGCACGGCTACCCCGTGCCGGGTACATTTGCTTCTTTGCCAGAGAAAACTCTTCTACGACTGTCCTCGCGACATTGGAGAACCGTTTGGTCAGACTTAATAATTATATCCATTTGACTTTCTACCTTCTGATGCTTCATCGATACGGTATCTTAAGTCTTGTTAATATCGACCAAATATCTACGGGTTCTCTACCAGGCTAACTATTATCGAATCCCGAGACGGGAGAACTTTCCTTGAAATCTCCCTACTCGTTAGTAACTGGAGAAGAACGTACGCCGTTACTAATCAGGTTCCTACTTCGTTTATATATATAGGTATATATATCCCTAGATACAGTAGTCGTGAAATCCTTAGATATACCTACGTGATACGGTAAGTAAAACCTTGTCCTGCGATTTGTGACACCGACTCTCCTTTCAGGGCTGGGATTTTCCTCGACCTAGGTGAAATCAGTCGTTTAACTTGACATGAGTACAATGCACTAGGGGTAGGTAGACTGCTTAGCGAAGAGGAGAGGGTGAGTGGGTGGGTGGCTGGCTGAAGAGTAGATCGACTAGCATTGAGAGCAAGAGTAATATATATATATATATATATATATATATATATATATATATATATAGAGAGAGAGAGAGAGAGGGAGGGAGGGGGGAGAGAGTGAGTACCATTGGCAAAGGGAACATTTATTGGACGTTATTAAATATAATGCCGCCAGGCGTGCTCCCCTTTTCTGAAAACTTTCTCGATAACTTCATAATTCCCTAAAAGGATCCTTCCTACAGGACTTTAAGCTTTCTTGTCTCCGGTGGGTTGCCTTGCCTCTTTTACCGACACCTGCCCATTCAGGACTTATGGAATTTTGCGGATGACTGTCGCGATGACGAAGATGCTCATGGTAAACCTGAATGCTTGTCTGAATAAGCCTGTAAAAGTGAGACTACAGGTTGGTACAGTATATTAAAAAATCTTTTAAATATTTTCACTTATTTTACGTATAATAGTCTTTTCTAATAGTTCAGCTGTCCACGGCTCAATGCCTTCGCTGAAGCTTAATGCCAATAACGCCATGACGATAGAATGAAAATTGTGATAGCGTGGATGGGATGCTGTGTACCGTGTCAACAAATGACAATGGACCTGCTGGGATGATGTCAATTAGCAGTAAATATCTGACAGAGAAAATATCCCTAGACTCGAGACTAACGAACCATCTAGCCATATTTGTATTCGAGTTAGTCACTTGCGTCTAACAGTAGCTAGGAAAATTTTACTGTGTTTCTCTTGCATAGAGAATTTTTATAAATCACGGATATTTATAGTAATGAAACGGCCTGTAGTCGATTCCCTATGGTTTACAGGACTGTTCATCTCCTTCCGGTATGCGTCGAGTGTGCTAAGAGCTATGACGTGTAGCCCTAATGGGAGACTCGACGAGTCGTATTTACCTGAAAATTCAATTACAATGGAAATTATATTGTTGAACTTTGAATTTGCATTTTTTTTAAATTTTCACTTTTTTTTGTTTATGTTTTGATATTCAGTATGAAGTTTTATAAAAATTTTTTATATTTTTTGCAGTAATATTTTAAAACATTTTTTTATTTTATATCCCATAAGTACGATAAATTTACGACACCCTGTATATACCATAATAGTCTTTATGTCGCGCGTAGAGAAAAATGTAATTCGAAAATGGTGGAATTGCTCTACGAAAGCAATTGGTACAATATTCTTGTCTTGCTACCGGTGTCCCCGGAGAACGTTGACTCGACGTTGAACGTGCAAATGAAGCTGGGACGACGTCACCTTAGATAAATTCACACCCGTTGAATCCCAACTCACGCTTTACGACGATATTTCGTAGTTTAAACGATTTTCCACCCTGTTGCGACAATGGAGCTTGTCTTCCCGCTGGTTGATTATTTCTAAGGCCAAAACGTACCAGGTGCAATATCGAGTATCGAGGTTTTATTAGATATCCTGAAATATGACGTCAACGATACAGGCTTTTGTATCGCTGCTACTATCGCGCTATATTTAATTACCAGGGACTCAGTTAATTAATCAACTTGCCAATCGCTTTCCATCCTATCGTCTTTCCATTAAGCGTCACGACGCATTATGATAATTGGATGGGAGCCATGATCCTTCCAAAGCACAGTGCTATACGATCAATAGTCATAATAGTGATAACGACGACCTGATAAGGAAAACGAAGCAAACTTCCCCATAGAGATAATTGACTTTACTGAATTGCCGCGTCGAGAATTTGGCAAAATCATAGCTGAGGGGTGAGGGAGGTCAAAGGTCAAGGGATGAAAGTCTCCCCCGCGAAATACGTCGTTCCATCCCCCTTTTTCGGGTTCGCTCGGTTGCCAACTTGTTCGCACAGCCGGTTCCAAATAACAATAGCCACATGCAATGATTATAATAGCTTTCTGGATCGGAGGGATGCTGCGAATTTTGAGTGAATATTTTTGACGTTTCAATCTCAAGATAATGTTACTCCAGGGCACTTCCGTTTTCAATTTTTTTGCCTCTATGTCTTTTTTTTTACTAGTCCCATGTACCGGGTGCAAACTTTGGCCAGCCCCTTATTACCTGGTAGGAGGATACTGCCGCAAATTTATAAGACGTTTTTCCCGGCGGTCATATCGAGAGAATTCACCCCTCGTGAAGAAGGGTGGCAGAAGCCGATGGCATGCTAACCACGTCGTGGTCGAAAATTTAATGCTTCGCTAAATGAAACCCTTGATGATGAACGCCGTACAACCGCTACGTCGTAAGGCGTTACGCTATTGGGCTCTTACGTTGAAGTCTGGTGTGGGTTCACCTGGCAAGCCTGTAAAAATGTAAATTACTCAAGCAACCCTAAATTTTCACGATTAAAGAAAATTAGGTGTTTATTGTGCAAGTGGTTGGTGGGAGATCGTGCAGAGGTTAAAATCAAATGAGAAATCACCCCCTGTTGCGTAATATTAAAAACAACAATTTTTTGGGTAATTTTAATTTTAATATTCATTAAAACATTTGACAGTCTAAACGAGCGCGGTTTGATCAGTGGAAAACCTCCGAGGCATTTTTTTCTAACGTAATTTCACGGGCTTATACGGAACTGACGAGGTCGTAGGGTCGTCAGGTCGCGGGGGATGATTTGGCAATAAGGCTGAGTTGTG